ACCCCCCCAATAAAGCAAAGCTGCACGTTTCAGAGTGGCCTTTTATTGTGGCCAGCCTAAGGCACACCTGTGCAATAATCATGCTGTCTAATCAGCATCTTGATATGCCACACCTGTGAGGTGGGATGGATTATCTCGGCAAAGGAGAAGTGCTCACTATCACAGATTCTTTCAGATTTGTGAACAATATTTGAGAGAAATGGTTATTTTGTGTATATAGAAAATATTTTAGATCTTTGAGTTCATCTCATGAAAAATGGGAGCAAAAACAAAAGTGTTGCGTTTATGTTTTTGTTCAGTGTAGATGCAATCACTGTGTGGTGGCTCCCCTCTCTGACCTTTATTCTTTAGGAAACAAAGGTCACTTAACACTTCCATAAACACACAGACAGAAAAACAAAATGTCCTGTACCTCATCTCCAAAATAGTTTTCTTCACGCTTATAGCTTTCTTCTTCTCCTCCAGGATGCGTCGCCGTCGGAGACAGTAATAGACTACTCCAAGCACAATGACCATGCCAAACAGACATCCCAGGATGGTCATGATGTAGTGGGTAGTTGTGGACGGGTTGGCTTGTGGGTCCTCTGACCCCAAAGCTCGTGTGGTGAAGAACAGACAGGTGTGGTTGTACCGCTGAGTTTTGCTTGCAGACGCCACACAGTAAGTGTAGTTTGTGTGTGGTTTCAGTTTCTCCAGAGTGAGTGTCTCTCTCTTCAACTTCAGGGGCTTGACGTCTGCAACAAAGCTTTGGTTGTACTGGGAAAGGATGTACATCTTACTGTATGGTCGTGGGATCTGTACCAATAGAGAAGCGCTATAGAGGGAGACAGTTTCAAGCTTCATGGAAATCTGATTGTTATAGGTGGGGTCAGCAGTGGAGGATATGGTTGGTTGGGGGTACAGACCTTGATCTGGGTTATCCAAACCCATGCCTGACCCATCTTGATCTGGTGTCTGCGAGGTCATCCCTGGAATTATTACACCATCGCGACACATGGATAGAAGAGTGTAACGGGCATTTTTTCCGTGCCCGGGCAGCGGACTCAGAAGAGGGTAACCATTCATTTCCACAGGCGTTTCGCACTGGAGGCGGTCGTAGGTGTGGGTGACATTGTTGAACGCCTCCAGCCAGGTGAGGAAAGTGAAAAGATCGCAGCCACAGTGGAACGGGTTTCCCGCCAGTTCACACACCTGCAGCCTGTTGAGGACCGTGAATGTAGACGGGTCAAGACGAGCCAATTTATTGGAAGATAAGTCCAGGCTGCTGAGGCTGGGGCACTCCCAGAAGGCATTGCTAGCGATGACCTCAATAAGGTTGTGTTGCAAGAAAAGGCATTGGATTCGACCCAGACCTCTCAGCATGCCCTCGGTCAGGTTAGTCATCTTATTGTAGCCCAGCTGGAGAACCTGAGACACAAAGACAAAGTAGACTTTTACACTTTTTAATAAAACCAAACACAAAACAATCTAATGTTAATACTTTGGTGGTTGTTTATTGTGGTCAGCAAAAAAAGTTTCCTTTGAATTGATATCTTTTATCAGGAGGACTAAACCTATTATTGAGTTTTATTTCTGTCAACAGCTTGGAAAGTTTTCAACAGCAACCATATTGTGGCAAAATGGATTTTGGTTATATGGTTTCAGATTATATTCCTAACTCAACTAGATGTAACTGTTAGAAATTAAAATCAATGTTGATATGGCGTAATTTGAATTAAATACACTATTTGATTTAAATCAGTTTTATTCTGAAAAACCGGAAGTTCTCACTATCAACTTAACACTTTTATTCTGAAAATTCGTCACTTCCGGTTAGCATTTAGCAATGGGAGAAGACCTCAGATGACAACAGGAAGAGCAAGCCAAGAATTGATCTCTTCTACCCCCTCGCACATTTCATTTTGTACACCACCGCATCTTTTGTATAATTAAATGCTGTTAACTTTTATAAGCTTCCCTTGACTCTTTTCAGTCTCTCCTGCCTTCAGGGTTCTAGAATTGCTTTCAATTTGGCGTCC